GGAGGGCGTTGGTTCCCTACAAAGCATCTCTCTGTCTATTGGCTCTTGAACGAGGAGAGCTCCCCTCTCTCTGTTTAACCCGATATATTCTATGCCGTCTCCCGAAGCAATACGGGCTTTACCCGATTTCAACCTTTTAGCATTTAAACCTAGATCCTGAGCGACATTACCAACTAAAGAACCTTTCTCCATTTCCTCCGGAATCGAGTAGCTGACCTGACCAAACACCGTGTCGAGACACAGAACCAGCACGAACAATAGTACTTGCCCTCTCATGATTTTGATGCTGTTTCCTTTCATTCGTGCGAAAATATAATCCATACAAATATCCATTAAATGAACGAAAGAATTCCAAGACCCTTGTGGCAAACACTCGAACTTCCCACGTCCATGAGCGTGTTTTTATAAACCGAATGCAGAGGGTTGGAGTCTATTTTATTGTCTCTCACAGTCTGGGGGAGGTACAGCTTCCAGTACGATCAAAGACTGCCACACTCTGGCCAACAGCGGTCCCGTCTGTTCAATACGCAGAACAGCAGGTGTGAGAATTTTTACTTTCAGTGCAACTAAGACCACTGCTGCATGTTATAATAGTAATTATTGTAATTGGTTTTATCATAATCACCATAAGTATTTTTATTATTACTAGAAAAAACATTATAATGCTATTTTTCTGTACCTATAATTATTATTTAGATTTTGTTTCATCATGTTTGACCACGAAAATTAAAATTTAATTGGGATAAAATGAAAACACAAAAGCAGAAACACTCCTCTGATACAATCCTTATATAGTATATTCCTGCTTAGAGCCTGAAGCAAAATTATATGAAACAAATGAAAACATTAAGCACTGAAGCATGACGTAGTCCAACTAGACCGCTGTCCATGGTGCTGATCGTATTTTTTCTTCATTCACATTTGCGATTTGAATATGAAGGTAAACGACATTTTACAGTGATAAACAGCACAGATTAACCTCAGTGACCAACCTCTAGAGGTGAGTCTGGTTCATCCAGGATGTTCTTTTCACTCAGGATCCGCTGCATCGTCCCTGACAAAGTGGGATCCATTATCAACATGTTTTCACTGCCAGGTTGGCCGTATTTAAAGTCACTTCTTCTGGAATCAGTTGTCCTGCACACCTCATAGTTGAAGACATGGGGGAGAGTCCCTGTCCCCATTGTATCCGAATAACGTGGTGGATAATATGGAATCACAGGCAGACCGGAGTGATACAGGATTCGAGACTGTCTCCATCTGTAGATCTTCACTGAGATAATAACAACTAAACACGTGATGAAGAGGAAGGAAACTACAGCCAGAGCCAACACTAAGTAAAAAGTCAGGTTGTCATTGTACTCCTTGTCGTGTTTAAAGTCAGTGAACTCAGACAGTACTTCAGAGAAACTGTCAGCCACCGCCACGTTAACAATGACTGTAGCTGAACGAGAGGGCTGTCCGTTGTCCTCCACTATAACAGTCAGTTTTTGATTGACAGGATCTTTATCAGTCACTTGGCGGATAGTTCTGATTTCTCCATTCTGTAAGCCAACTTCAAACAGAGCCCTGTCTGGGACTTTCTGGAGTTTATAGGAGAGCCAGGCATTCTGTCCAGAGTCCACATCAACAGCCACCACTTTAGAGACCAGATAGCCCACATCTGCTGAACGAGGCACCATTTCACCCACCACAGAGCCACCAGTCTGGACTGGGTACAGAACCTGAGGAGGGTTATCGTTCTGGTCCTGGATCAGTATCTTCACGGTCACATTACTACTGAGTGGAGGAGAGCCTCCATCCTGAGCTTTGACACGAAACTGAAAATCTTTGATTTGTTCATAGTCAAAAGAACGCACTGCATGTATGACTCCACTATCAGCACTGACAGACACATAGGAGGAGACTGGTACTCCGTTAACAGAGGAGTCCTCCAGGATGTAAGACACACGAGCATTCTGGTTCCAGTCTGCGTCTCTGGCTTTAACTGTGAATACAGACAGACCTGGTGTGTTGTTTTCTACTATGTAGGCCTCATATGAGCTCCTCTCAAAGACAGGTGCGTTGTCATTAACATCAGAAATCTGTAAGGTGAGAGTGACGCTGCTGGAGAGAGAGGGCACTCCCTCATCAGAGCAGCTCACTGTTATATTATACTCAGACGTTTTCTCTCTGTCTAACTCACTGTCTGTCACTAAACTATAGAAATTATTTGAAGTCGATTTTAGCATGAATGGGATTTTATCACTTATTAAACACTGAACTCTCCCATTTTCACCGGAGTCTGGATCTTGTATATTAATCATTGTGACTACAGTGTTCGGTTCAGCCTGGTTTAGAGAGTATTTTCAACTGAGGACTGTTGTCATTGACATCAATGACATCAACAATGATCTTACTGGAATCAGAGAGTCCACCATTATCTAGAGCCTCAATGTCAATTTGGTATAGCTTTGTTTTTTCATAATCAATTTCACCTATCAATGTAAGCTCACCTGAATTTCTATTAATATTAAAGAGATCAGACAAGCGATGTTTGCTGTTTGAAATCATGTATGTAATTTCCCCGTTAGAGCCTCCATCTTTGTCTGATGCACTGACAGTAATAACACTGGTTCCTTTTGGTGAATTCTCTGTGATCGTGGCCTTGTACACTGATTTAGTGAATACCGGTGCGTTGTCATTTGCGTCTAACACATTAACAATGATCTGCATTGTGCCTGACATACGTGGCTGGCCACCATCTAAGGCAGTTAGTAACAGAGATAACTGAGCCTGATGCTCTCGATCCAGTGGCTTCTGTAAAACCATTTCTACCTTTTTACTGCCGTCAGCTTGATCTTTCATTTGCAATACAAAATTGTTTGTTGGTTTTAGCGAGTAGCTCTGGAGACCGTTTTCACCTATGTCTGCATCTATTGCTTTGTCTAGGACAAATTTAGAGCCGACAATGGCGGACTCACTGATTTCAAAACGTTTGTCACTCGATGCGAAGCTGGGAGCGTTGTCATTTATATCCGTGATTTCTATTGTTATGCGAAATAATTCCATAGGATTTTCCAGAATCAGCTGTAAATGTAACGCACAGGGCGTTGTTTCCCCACAAAGCATCTCTCTGTCTATTCGCTCTTGAACAAGCAGAGCTCCCTTCTCTCTGTTTAACCCGATATATTCGACGTTGTCTCCCGAAGTAATTCGAGATTTACCCGATTTCAACCTTTTAGCATCCAAACCTAAATCCTGAGCGACATTACCAACTAAAGAACCTTTCTCCATTTCCTCCGGAATCGAGTAGCTGACCTGACCAAACACCGTGTTCACATACAAAGCCAACATGAAGAATAGTACTTGCCATGTAACCATTTTGAAGTTGTTTCCCCAAATTAATAGGATATGAATATAATCCAGAGGAATATCCTTTAAATAGACACAAGAAGCCCGGGAATTCTAGGTGAAAATAGCAGCTTGTTAGGTCCCTGAACACGTACTGTTTGACGACATGCAGAGGAACGGATTGGATTTTATTGTCTGTAACAATCTGGGGGAGGTACAGCTTCGAATCCTATCAAAGACTGCCACACTCTGGCCAACAGCGGCCCTTAGTGTTTAAAAAAACAAACAGCACTGGCTGGAATATGTGTAACGTATATTATTATTATTATTATTATTATTAGTATTATTATTATATCAATTTTTTATTTATTTTGTTTGTTGATGTTTTTGGTGGTGGTGGTTTTAGTGATGTGTTTTTAAAAAAATCAAGTGTTGTAAATTACTGCTTAAACACAAGACATTATTTTAAACAACTATGCATTCTTGTTCAGCTCACTGTCTCTAACACCAACGATGGGATGTGCATCAAATATTTAAATAAATAGAAAAACAAACCAATACTTTATAAACACTGTTATCTTATAAACACAGTCTAACCTCTAGAAGAGAGTCTGGTTGATCCAGGAGGTTCTTTTCATGTTGTATGTGCTGCATTGATCCAGTTGAACTATGGTCCATTATCAGCGTGTTCTCACTGCCAGGTTGGCCGTATTTCTCTGAATCCGCTGCATCGTGGCTGTCGAACTGGGGTCCATTATCAACACGTTTTCAGTACCAGGTTGGCCATATTTAAAGTCACTTCTTCTGGAATCTGTGGTCCTGCACACCTCATAGTTGAAGACATGAGGGAGAGTCCCTGTCCCCATTGTATCAGAGTAACGTGGTGGATAATATGGAATCACAGGCAGACCGGAGTGATACAGGATCCGAGACTGTCTCCATCTGTAGATCTTCACTGAGATAATAACAACTAAACACGTGATGAAGAGGAAGGAAACTACAGCCAGAGCCAACACTAAGTAAAAAGTCAGGTTGTCATTGTACTCCTTGTCGTGTTTAAAGTCAGTGAACTCAGACAGTACTTCAGAGAAACTGTCAGCCACCGCCACGTTAACAATGACTGTAGCTGAACGAGAGGGCTGTCCGTTGTCCTCCACTATAACAGTCAGTTTTTGATTGACAGGATCTTTATCAGTCACTTGGCGGATAGTTCTGATTTCTCCATTCTGTAAGCCAACTTCAAACAGAGCCCTGTCTGGGACTTTCTGGAGTTTATAGGAGACCCAGGCATTCTGTCCAGAGACTTTAGAGACCAGATAGCCCACATCTGCTGAACGAGGCACCATTTCACCCACCACAGAGCCACCAGTCTGGACTGGGTACAGAACCTGAGGAGGGTTATCGTTCTGGTCCTGGATCAGTATCTTCACGGTCACATTACTACTGAGTGGAGGAGAGCCTCCATCCTGAGCTTTGACACGAAACTGAAAATCTTTGATTTGTTCATAGTCAAAAGAACGCACTGCATGTATGACTCCACTATCAGCACTGACAGACACATAGGAGGAGACTGGTACTCCGTTAACAGAGGAGTCCTCCAGGATGTAAGACACACGAGCATTCTGGTTCCAGTCTGCGTCTCTGGCTTTAACTGTGAATACAGACAGACCTGGTGTGTTGTTTTCTACTATGTAGGCCTCATATGAGCTCCTCTCAAAGACAGGTGCGTTGTCATTAACATCAGAAATCTGTAAGGTGAGAGTGACGCTGCTGGAGAGAGAGGGCACTCCCTCATCAGAGCAGCTCACCGTTATATTATACTGCGATGCTAACTCTCTGTCTAACTCAGTCTTAGTAAGTATGCTGTAGAAGCCATTTGAAGTATTTTCAATAACGAGTGGCACACTGTCACTCAGAAAACACTGAACCACTCCGTTACTATTCGAATCCGCGTCACGCACGTTCATCACGGAAACAACTGTGTGTACTACAGAGTCTTCTGGAATGGACTTTGTGGTTGACATTAAATCTATTACGGGAGGATTATCGTTTACATCACTAATGTCAAACATAATATTACATGTGTCGGTTAGACCACCTTGATCTCTGGCTTTCACCTGCAGCTGATAATGCCTTGATGATTCGTAATCTAATTCTCCAATCAAACGCACTTGACCACTCGTAGCATTTATTTCAAATAAACTCAGTATTTCCTCAGTGTTACTTGACAACGAGTATGTTAATAAAGCATTTATTCCGTGGTCACTGTCTGTAGCCGTGACCGTCAGAAGCAAGGTTGTCTTTGGCGTGTTTTCCTGAAGTGTTACTTTATATATCGCTTGTGTAAACACGGGAGCATTGTCATTAACATCTAATACAGTTATGTGAATTTGTGTTGTTCCTGATAGCTGAGGGTCACCTCCATCGAAAGCAGTGAGTGTTAATGTCAGATGCTCTTGTCTTTCACGATCAAGAGGTTTTTCCAGGACCATCTCGATCCCTTTTTCTCCACCTAGGTTGTCACTGTGTTTTAAAATGAAGTTATCTGTCGGGTTAAGGGTGTAGCGATTGAGTCCATTTACACCAACATCATAGTCGGATGCCTTCTCTAATGCGAATTTGGCCCCTTTTACAGCAGATTCACTGATTTCAAAGAACATGCTATTCCTTTTAAATGTCGGCGCGTTGTCGTTTATATCTATTATTTCCACCGTAACGCGATAGAACTCAATGGGGCTCTCCATTATTATCTGAAAATGTACAGCACAGGGAGTCGTCTGCTTGCATAAAGACTCTCTGTCTATTTTTTCTTTGATGAGAAGGAGGCCTTTCTCTCTATCCAGCTCAATGTATTCAGCGCTGTTTCCAACATGCAAGCGAGCTTTCCCCGTTTTCAGTCGTTTTACATCGACACCTAAATCTTTTGCGATGTTTCCTACCACGGAGCCTTTGGACATTTCTTCGGGAATAGAATAGCTGACCTGCCCAACCACGCAGCGGAGAGAGAGCATCAAGAGGAACAATGGTACTTGCCGTGTCATTGTTTCGTTTAACGCTATTCTATCATCACAATGGAAACAATAAGATAATCCACAAAAAACAGCGTCGTATAGCTCACAGTGCAGGTCGAAAAACCCCGAAAATATGAGAAAAAGGTGAATTGTTATATTTCCAAATCCTTCGTTCGTGTCGTCCGTTGTGCCTCAGACTGTGTAAAGTGTCGTGTCCGCTTCCCACTGATGTTAACAATATGGGAGGTGCAGCTGATGACTGCAACTATACTACCACACACTGGTCAACAGCGTCGCTAAGAGTGCAAAATACGAAACTGCAAGTGACTGTGTTCCTAAAGAGACTATTTATATAAAGTAAAATCCAATATGAGGTCTCCATATTAGTTTAAATTTGTTTTAATTAAAAAAAAGCAAAAATAATAAGTAATGGTATTATTTTTAATGAATAAAACCACTTGAGTAGCAATAACAATAAAAATATAGTTTTTTCTAAAACACAACCGTTGGACACAAATGCAAGCCCACATGAATTTTCAAGATACAGCTTGTGGAAAAAAAAAAGTTATGTAACCATAAAAAAACAACTTTCAACGCTGCTTCAAAATGACCTGGACGCGTGCTGTCCATGGTGCTGAAAACAAATCACTTCTCAAACTGAGAAAATAACCTGGACATATGTTTTATACAAGATTCTTCAGAATTCCGCGACACGTCATATAAGAAAATATAAAATGATCTATTATTCAAGTTCTTACCTCAACAGGAGAGTCAGGCTCATCTAGGATACTCTTTTCATTTAGTTTCCGCTGGATTGTATCTGTACAACAGGGATCCATAAACAAGACATTCTGACTACCAGCCTTGCCGAACTGAAAGTCACTCTTTCTGGAGTCAGTCGTCCGGTAGACTTCGTAATTTTGCACATGTGGTAGAGTTCCGGTCCCCATTGTATCAGAGTAACGTGGTGGATAATATGGAATCACAGGCAGACCGGAGTGATACAGGATTCGAGACTGTCTCCATCTGTAGATCTTCACTGAGATAATAACAACTAAACAGGTGATGAAGAGGAAGGAAACTACAGCCAGAGCCAACACTAAGTAAAAAGTCAGGTTGTCATTGTACTCCTTGTCGTGTTTAAAGTCAGGGACCTCAGACAGTACTTCAGAGAAACTGTCAGCCACCGCCACGTTAACAATGACTGTAGCTGAACGAGAGGGCTGTCCGTTGTCCTCCACTATAACAGTCAGTTTTTGATTGACAGGATCTTTATCAGTCACTTGGCGGATAGTTCTGATTTCTCCATTCTGTAAGCCAACTTCAAACAGAGCCCTGTCTGGGACTTTCTGGAGTTTATAGGAGAGCCAGGCATTCTGTCCAGAGTCCACATCAACAGCCACCACTTTAGAGACCAGATAGCCCACATCTGCTGAACGAGGCACCATTTCACCCACCACAGAGCCACCAGTCTGGACTGGGTACAGAACCTGAGGAGGGTTATCGTTCTGGTCCTGGATCAGTATCTTCACGGTCACATTACTACTGAGTGGAGGAGAGCCTCCATCCTGAGCTTTGACACGAAACTGAAAATCTTTGATTTGTTCATAGTCAAAAGAACGCACTGCATGTATGACTCCACTATCAGCACTGACAGACACATAGGAGGAGACTGGTACTCCGTTAACAGAGGAGTCCTCCAGGATGTAAGACACACGAGCATTCTGGTTCCAGTCTGCGTCTCTGGCTTTAACTGTGAATACAGACAGACCTGGTGTGTTGTTTTCTACTATGTAGGCCTCATATGAGCTCCTCTCAAAGACAGGTGCGTTGTCATTAACATCAGAAATCTGTAAGGTGAGGGTGACGCTGCTGGAGAGAGAGGGCACTCCCTCATCAGAGCAGCTCACTGTTATATTGTACTCAGAGGCTCTCTCTCTGTCTAACTCACTGTCTGTGACTAAACTATAGAAATTATTCGTTGATGATTTTAAATGAAATGGAACATGGTCGCTAATAAAGCATTGAACTTTTCCGTTTTCTCCAAAGTCTTTATCCTCGATATTGATCATTGTAACAATTGTATCTGATTTAACGTCCTCTGAAACAACGTTTGACTTTGACATGATGTTAATTTCAGGTCTGTTATCATTTTTATCTTGAACTTCCACCACTACCTTGCAGGAATCTGTAAATCCTCCCTCATCGCTCGCCAGTATATTAATTTGATAATTTCTAGACTCCTCAAAATCAATATTTCCAGTTACACTGATCATTCCTGTTTCATCGTTAACCTTAAAAATATTCCTAACGTTGTCTAATGTGTTTGTTATTGAATATTTTATTTTACTGTTAGAGCCTTGATCTGCATCGGTGGCTGTAACAGTGGCCACGACTGTGCCTTTAGGTGAATTCTCTGTAACTGTAGTTCGATATGTAGACTGTGTAAAAACGGGGGCGTTATCGTTTGCGTCTAAAACTGTAATAAGAATCATCATTGTTCCTGACATCGGCGGATCTCCTCCATCTACAGCCGTTAACACGAGGGACATCTCCTCCTGTTTTTCTCTGTCTAAAGGCTTCTGCAGCACCATCTCAATATTTCTATTACCATCAGCGTTATTATGCACTTTCAGAGCAAAATTATCTGTAGGTTTTAATTCATAGGTTTTAAGATCATTGACACCAACATCAAGATCACCAGCTCTCTCTAAGACAAATTTAGCTCCTGTGAGCGCCGCCTCGCTTATCTTAAATTTCATTTCACTTTTGTCAAAAGTCGGTGCGTTATCATTGATGTCTGTGATCTGCACAGTCACCGTGTAAAATTCCATAGGATTTTCTAAAATAATTTGAAAATCTAATGCGCACGGCGTCGTCTTTTTGCACAGCGCCTCCCTGTCGATCCTGCCTTTCACCAGGAGGACTCCTCTTTCTCTGTTTAACTCCACATACTCGTCACTGCCTCGAGTGAAAATTCGAGCTTTGCCAGATACCAGACGTTTGGTCGACAATCCTAAATCATGTGCGATATTACCCACTAAAGAGCCTTTGGCCTTTTCCTCTGGAATCGTGTAGCTGACCTGAGCGACTACAGTGACAACAAAGAGGAGAGGCCCGAGCAGAAGTACTTGCCCAATCATTGTCTTTCCGATTGCTCGCGTGATGTCCAATGGTTTTATATCCAATTCGACTGTTAAAAAAAATAATTCCACGTCGACACAGCAAAATATGTTTTCAAAGATTGTCTCGTTTTAAAATATCCGCATCATCGTAAGCCCCTTTCACTCCGTCTTACTCGTTCTTTGTAATGGCGTGTTACATGGGAGGTGCTGATACAACTACAATGTCAGCCGTCGACGCTGTGGTGAACAGCGGCCCTAAGAGTCCAAACTATAAAACTGCAAAAACTACCCACTCGGCTCTGGATCAAAAGCTGAGTATATTAAACGCAAAACAAACAGTGTTCAAAAATAAAATGGCAACATTATAAACATCCCAAACACAGGAACTTCCAAAATGTTAGAATATCCATCCATCCATCCATTTTCATCCGCTTATCCGTTACCGGGTTGCGGGGGAAGCAGTCGCCACCCAAATCACATTGCACCATACCTAAACCTTCCTGCGGGTGGTGAGTCCACTGGAAAATGTTAGAATATTTGATAAATAATTGTTTTTCATGTTTACTGTGTATTTATCAAAAACGGATAAAAATAAATAAAAGGATACAGCAACTTTGAATTAACAAATAAAATCATAACCGTTTTTGGTCTATAAATTGTGACTGAAAACTTGTAATATTCACCACTATATCATCATTGTCTACTATATTAAGATTTTGTTTAATTCTGAAGATTACTTTTGCTATATACAGTAAACAAAATATCTTATAAATGCATCTTATAAAATAAGGAGAAGGAAATGCCGTAAAAAATAGAAAGCAAAATATCAAATCAAAGTAAATAAAAAAGTTAAGACGTATAAAAATGCGTAAAATGAGACATTCTAGTATTACTGAGAAACATCAACCCTAAAAACATTTAGCAAAAAGCATTAGTTGTGATGTATTAGGTACACCATACCGTAGCAGAGTGTGTATTTATGGATTTTCTATTTAACTTATAATGACCTTTGGGATGAATGACGCAACAAATAACATGATCAGTATCTGTCAGAGGTGCTGAAAAGACACAAACGTATTACCAAGAAGAGATGAAAAAAAAACCCAATGCTAACCTCTAGAGGAGAGTCTGGCTCATCCAGGATAGTCTTTTTGCTCTGTAGTCGCTGCATCGTCCCTGAAGAACTTGTGTCCATTAGCAGCACATTTTGAGGACCGAGTGTGCCGAACTTACAGTCACTTTTTCTGGAGTCTGTTGTCCTACACACTTCGTAATTGTACACGTGGGGGAGAGTTCCTGTACCCAATGTATCTGAGTAGCTTGGTGGAAAGTATGGAATCACAGGCAGACCGGAGTGATAGAGGATTCGAGACTGTCTCCATCTGTAGATCTTCACTGAGATAATAACAACTAAACACGTGATGAAGAGGAAGGAAACTACAGCCAGAGCCAACACTAAGTAAAAAGTCAGGTTGTCATTGTACTCCTTGTCGTGTTTAAAGTCAGTGAACTCAGACAGTACTTCAGAGAAACTGTCAGCCACCGCCACGTTAACAATGACTGTAGCTGAACGAGAGGGCTGTCCGTTGTCCTCCACTATAACAGTCAGTTTTTGATTGACAGGATCTTTATCAGTCACTTGGCGGATAGTTCTGATTTCTCCATTCTGTAAGCCAACTTCAAACAGAGCCCTGTCTGGGACTTTCTGGAGTTTATAGGAGAGCCAGGCATTCTGTCCAGAGTCCACATCAACAGCCACCACTTTAGAGACCAGATAGCCCACATCTGCTGAACGAGGCACCATTTCACCCACCACAGAGCCACCAGTCTGGACTGGGTACAGAACCTGAGGAGGGTTATCGTTCTGGTCCTGGATCAGTATCTTCACGGTCACATTACTACTGAGTGGAGGAGAGCCTCCATCCTGAGCTTTGACACGAAACTGAAAATCTTTGATTTGTTCATAGTCAAAAGAACGCACTGCATGTATGACTCCACTATCAGCACTGACAGACACATAGGAGGAGACTGGTACTCCGTTAACAGAGGAGTCCTCCAGGATGTAAGACACACGAGCATTCTGGTTCCAGTCTGCGTCTCTGGCTTTAACTGTGAATACAGACAGACCTGGTGTGTTGTTTTCTACTATGTAGGCCTCATATGAGCTCCTCTCAAAGACAGGTGCGTTGTCATTAACATCAGAAATCTGTAAGGTGAGAGTGACGCTGCTGGAGAGAGAGGGCACTCCCTCATCAGAGCAGCTCACTGTTATATTATACTGAGATGCCAACTCTCTGTCTAACTCACTGTCTGTGACTAAACTAAAAAAGTTGTTTGTTGATGATTTTAAGACGAAAGGAACATGGTCGCTAATATAACAGCGGACGTTGCCATTATCTCCTGAATCTTTATCTTCAATGTTAATCATTGTGACGATTGTGTTAATTTTTGCATCCTCTGAAATTACAGTTGATTTTGACATTATGTTAATTTCAGGTTTGTTGTCATTAATGTCTTGTACATCGACAATTAATTTACAAGAGTCCGTGAGTCCCCCCTCATCACTAGCACGCACATTAATTTGATATATTTTCGACTCCTCAAAGTCAATGTTGTCGTTTAAT